TCACGTGGGTTACAACGTGGTTAGAATGCTAGTTTAATTAAGGTGTAAGTGTTCTTTTCACGATGAATGATGTAAAATGGGAACCTTTCACCATCTGAAAAAGAGCTTATTGTTGGTGCCCGTTTAACAAGGGCAGTTCGAAGACAGCAAATCCCACTGGGTTTTTAAAAGCAGTCATATCAAAGGCTTTCAAAAGTTGGAATCAAAACCCACAGTCCTTCTCTAGAAGACGTATCTGCGGTTCGAGCAAAGTCTTCCAAGAGAGTGATCGGCGTCGTCTCCGATGAATTGTACAGCAGAAAACTGACTCTACTGTGCTTCAGTTGACACAGATCGTCAATTAAGTCTCTTCCCAACAGATTTCAGCTCGAACCATACGCAGAGAATTGCAGAGAAAAGGAATGCGTAGTTGGGTGCCTGTGAGAAAAACCACTCATTTCTGACCGACATGCAAGAATTTGATTGGTGTCGGGAAAGAAGACAATGGACATCTGAGGATTGGAAACGGGTAAAGTGGTCGGATGAATCACGCTACGCATTATTTTGCACTCATGGAAGACGTCGAGTTTGACGAAAACCCCACGAAGCCACGAATCCATCTTGCCTTACTTGCACTGAGCAAGGGTCTGGTGGAAGTATCATAATACGGGGTATGTTCTGCTGGCATGGAAGGGGTACCCTGGTGTTTCTCGAGGGTAAACAAACAGCCATGAGATATATAGATATAATGGCAGATCACGTGCACCCTGCAATGTTGCATTTTTATCCTGAAGGCGACGGATACTTCATGGAGAGAGAGAGAGAGAACGGAGGACGTGAGCACTATCCCTTTAACAAACGGTTAATTAGTATAGCACCACGCCCACCACTATCTATAGCACCCCTTCAAAATACATAATGCCACCTGAAAGGTATTCAACGTGCACGACAAGACATACAATATAATATGTTACAGAGTTACAGATTAATATTCAAGATACATTACTGGTACATTACTGATACAAACATGACAGATGCTGAACTGATAAAAGGCTGATATAATACTAATATTAACACTGATTAATTCTGCTACAGTACTGATACATTGATATAACACTGAATATTATTACTGATTAAATGGGAATGATTTTGCATAAGTCGGTAAATAAATCCACGAAATAATACGTTACAGAGACTCAAAATATTGCGAATTAAAATATCACAAATGAATGTTCTACTGTTACATTTCTTGTACTATTGTACTATCTATAGCACCCCTTCAAAATACATAATGCCACCTGAAAGGTAATCAACGTGCACGACAAGACATACAATATAACATGTTACAGAGTTACAGATTAATATTCAAGATACATTACTGGTATATTACTGATGCAAATAGGACAGATGCAGAACTGATAAAAGGCTGATATAATACTGGTACTGGTATTAATACTGATTAATACTGCTACATTACTGATACATTGATATAAAACTGAATATTAATACTGATGAAATGGGAATGATTTTGCACAAGTCGGGAAATAAATCCACGAAATTATACGTTACAGAGACCCCCCCCAAAAAAAATGAGAATTAAAATATCATAGATCAATGTTCTACTGTTATATTACTTGTACATTACTGATGAAATATAACTGATACACTACTGATACAAGGCTGATATATCAGTGATACAATACTTTACTGATTGTAAGACTGTTTTTATTGCTCATGCGATATATGCATGAGCAAATATGCATATACAATACTTTACTAGTATTAATACTCATACAATACTTAACTGATATTAATACTCATACAATACGTTACTGATATTGATACTCATACAACACTTTTATTGGTATTAATACTCATTCAATACTGTCTAATAGTGATTAATTGTAAATGGGAAATACTGATACTGATACAATACTTTACTCATTACTGATACAAATGTGGATATACAATATTTAACTGTTACAATACTGATACAATACTGGTATTAATATTGACACAATACTGATTAGTACCGATACTATACTTTACTGGTGTAAGACTATTATATTGTTGATACAAATTTGCATATAATCCATACGGAGCATACGTTTATGGCAGCAGGAGAATTTACGCTGTCTGACATACGTCCATGCCCAGCGCAGACAGTTTGTCCATTAAATTGACAACCTTTGTAATCAGATATCTCTGCTTTATGATAAATTTGCAGAAGGCCTGCCTGTTGGTACTTGGCAGTTGAATATGAAGATCAGATGTCAATGGACAAGTGGTCAGGTAATGCTCTGGGGATCCAATATCTCCGCAGCAGCAGAACTCAGTATGGCTGAGCCCGCGTTTTGCAAAATATTGCGGAAATGGACCATGGCCAGTGATAAATCGAACGAGCTGAGGGTTGGAAATGATACGGTCAGTGTCCACATACGCTATGTGATACTGCGTTCGTCGACCGGTTGAGCCCTCGTCCCATTCCTCTTGCCATCGTCCAATGGCCTTCAATCTCAGGCATTTCTTTAGATAAGAAATAGGCCATGGGATATTGACTTGAGTATCTGCATTGCCTGAAGCTGCCTCTTTGGCTAGACTGTCTGCAGTTTCGTTTCCGTAATGCCCAGCATGAGCTTTGATCCACTCAAGTTTAAGCTGATGGGGGAAATGCTCTCTTAGGTCCTGCTGAATGGTTTGGATGATGGTAGATGGATGGTCAGGATTACCTAAAGCACGCAACGACGATAGACTGTCTGTTTTTATAACTGCTTTTTTAATACCGTAAAAGATTAAGTAGCGTAAGGCTTGTGCAATAGCAATCGCTTCACTTGGAAGACTGAATTTTGAGAGCGCAGTTGACCTTTCCAATGATGTGTAACTATATGATCCCGCAAAACAGCAAAAGCACTGCCTGTGTTTTCGTTGATTTTCGAGCCGTCTGTATAAATTTCTATTTGAGAAGGCAGAGCTGTAGCAGTTGGCTGGAACTTGGATGCGAACACCAATGCCTTTAAATGATGGATGGGTACGAAAATCAGGAGCCGGGATTTCATACTCTTCTGGAAAGGAAATATTCATCAGAGAAGAAAGCTGGAAGCTGGTCGCCGTAACTGTTTGATGAGTTGCCTGACAGCCTCTTCTTCAACTCGTAAGTGGAGGGGTAATAATCCCGCTTACGCTAAAACATTGATTGCATTAGAAGGCTGTTGTGCGATAAGCACGAGTTATGTTTAGAGCAAAGGGTCTCTGGATTGCTGACAGATGTCTAATTTTACGGCCCTGCATAGGAAATGCCCACACAGCTGCTGCATACGTAATAATCTTTTTCGATCAACTGTCTTGAATAAAATTTTCTGAATATGTGGGTTAAGGACCCCATTTATGCCCCTGTAGCTGCTTCAACCGTCTGGCAATGATACCGATGTTCTGGTCTTGAGATCAATTACGTGAGGTATCCAGGTCATCTTTTCATCAAAAATATGACCCAGATACCTCAGTTCTTTAACAATTTGAATCCTTTGTTCATTGAGCATAATACGTGGTCTTCGCACCAGTGACCCTCCTTTTTTTAGGAATAAGCAGAACTTTAGATTTTTGATCAGCTATAGTTAGTTTTAGTGATGTACACAGAGAGTGGAAGAGCGTGCATGTATCATTGCAGTTGGATTGCAATTCTTCACGAGATCTTCCTCGCACTATCAAGGCCGCATCATCAGCATATGCGTAGATATTTGTATGTGTTGGCCACTCAGCTGTTAAAACGCTGTTGAATGTTAAATTCCATAAGTGAGGGCCAGCACAAGAACCCTGTGGACAGCCCATAGTTTGTTGACGTTATATATAGCCATTATTATGAATAGCTAAGAGCTTGCGATCAGAGAGGTAGTGACATAAAGGTCCGATAGATGTTAATTGGACAGTTAGCATCCCTGAGCGCTTTCCTGATAGCTGGCCACCAAGAGGTTATCGAAAGCACTCTTGAGATCAATATCAGCACAATACTCACGAGTGCAGTGTGGTAGCCATTGTTTCTATTCTCTAGAATAGATTCTCGTATGTCATAAAGCACATGTGTAGTTGAAAAGCCAGTCCTAAAGCCATATTGTCTCGGGCTAAGCACGTTATGACTCTGCAGATGGAAACGGAGTCTGTTCATTAAGAGTTTCTCAAAAACTTTACCCATTGCTGATAATAAACAGATAGGACGGAAAGAACCTGGATCTGCTGGGTCCCGATTCTTCTTTAAAAATAAAATAACCTGTCCTATCTTGAAGTGCTTAGGAAATGTGCCTATGCTAAAAAGTTTATTGAAATACAGAACAAAGAATGCTGGAGCTGCGTTTATAATAACTTTTACTATTAGCGTAATCCTACGCCATCTGGCCCTGGCGCTTTTCTATGTGGTAACCGTCTGAGCACTTGCAGGAGTTTTTGTTGCTTAAAATCCAAATCTGGAGCTGGCATCATATGTTGTGCTATCATTCCTAACTAAAGCATGATATGCTGTGTCATCATTAGCAGAGTCCTGACTAAAGACCGCGTTTAAGATTAGTTGGATGATGTTTTCTTCTGTATAATTAGTAGTGGTGGGCAAGAGTAGTGGGGATATGAAGATGCGCCGGCATGAATAGCTTCCCCGTTATTATTTTATGATGGATGCCATAAATTTCCTTATTGTTAGTACAAAATTGCTTCCACGAATTGATTTTGGCTTCTATAATCATTTTCTTATAAATTGCGCGCTCTCGTTGAAAGCGTTGTAATGTTTCTGTTTGTAATTTGAGTCGCCTGTCTTGTTTTAATTTACGGCGAAGGGCTCGACATTTGCGTTGTTGCGTGCGGAGAGCTCCAGTCCACCAATTAATTGTATGGAGTTGTTTGGTACTACGTAGTGGAAGAAATTTATCACATGCCTCTTTGATAGTGTTTGTAGTGAATCTGTAAATGCTTCCAGATTGTTCCCGAGATTGAGCCTGCATTAAACCTGCGGTTCTAATTCAATGAGAAGGCTGCGAATCTTATTGATGAAGGAAAGTGATTTTCTGTCCTGGCAGTTTATAACGTTTGATAATTGGTACTGATGTAATCTTGTCTAATGTGAAAGTAATAAATTTGTGGTCTGATAAACTTATCGCGTCTTCAACCTTCCAGTCCTGGATAAGGTTTGTTGCATGAGTTGTTGTAAACGTGAGGTCTGGCCAACCGTGAGCGTAAATTCTATCGTATGATGGAGGAGCACCCTCAGTGTTCTGCAGAACAAAATTATTTGAGGAAAGAAAATCTTCTAAATCTCTTCCTTTAGGACTTGTTACAGCATAACCCCATGTTGTGTTATGCGCATTATAGTCCCCAGCGAAGACCATGTTGGAGATATGGATACGTTGTAGTAAGTTTTGAATTGACTGTGTGACCGGGTTCAAGTCCTCAGATGGGGGTGAATATTGGGATACTAATACCACTGTAAGAGACCGTAAATCAAGGAGGATGGCAGAACTATCTCTTTCCATAGTAATAACTGAGGGAGACCAATCTGTGTTGCAGCATATTATGATAGCGCGTGGCGGATGATTGATATCTACCTTTTGATATATATTCCAGTGCATGGGGAATCCCATTGTCATTCCATTTCGTGTATACGGTTCCTGTGCAAAAATGATGTCAATTGCATTTTCAACAGCAAATTGTGTTGCTTGGGCTGTTGCAGCCTTTGCGTGTTGCAAATTAATTTGCAAACACTTGATTGGCTGGGATGACGTTCTTTGTGATTTATTAATTTTCATATTGGGGTCTGTAACCGAATGGTGAAAATTTGTAGCTGTAGGGAGACGAGGGAGAACAAATCCCTGCTGGTGCTTGTCTATGAATAGACCCGAAGTTGTTGAAGAATGTCCTTGTACGTGTGGCATGTTTTTGCGTTTGCCTGGTGATTTACACTGTAATTTGTGCTCTTGAGAGCGTTTGAGTGAGAGCAGTTGTTACAATGCTCTGCCTCCGCAGTACACTTCTCAATCGAGTGCCCCTGACCACACCTGGCGCACACCGGATTGGACTTGCACGTTCTACTTATATGTCCAAATTCCTGGCAGTTATAGCACCTGGTAATATTAAAGAATTTTTTAATCTGGCAGGAATTAAAACCCAAGTAGATTCTACGTAGAGAAAGGATAATTTCCTCTAAAGCTGGGTCTATATCAAGAATCCAATTTTGGCTCTCTGAGTCTCTATTCTTGACAGACTTACGAGAAACAATAGCGTCTTGCTCCGTGTTATGCACCAGTTGAGAAATCGCGTCCGCTACTTGCTCTCCCGTGAATTCTTTTGGAGCTCCAAATAGTATAAGAGCACGCCGCTTTGGACGTGGAAACCTGAGAGAAATGGAATCTTTAAGTAGAGGTTGTTCCTCTATGGCGTTCTTGATAGAGATAATATCAGAAATGGAATTGCACCTAATGAGCAGTTCCCTGCTGTGCGTAGGGCGTATTTGAACAATTTTAGTTCCGAGCTGCGCTGCCTTAAGTACAGTTGCCAGCTGGATCCTAACGCTTTCAGGCGTTCTGGAGGAATCCTTAGGTCGAAGAAGGAGAACGTGCTCTGGTAAATTAAGTTTAGGCTCTGTGCGTAAGATATTATTGGAGGAGGAGGGAGCAGAAATCAGGTTAGACTGCTGTATTGCCTTTTTCCTTCCTCGTCGAACTACTTCAGTGAATGGCGTAGGGTCTTCTTCAATAAGATCAGGCTCCTTATCTTTGGCTGTTATTGTCCTAGTGGAGGGGGTTTGAACAAAGATGTTGTTGCGTGAAGCTGCAAGCTGCCCTTCCAAATTAGCTATGTAAAGTTCTTGCTCTGTGAGCAAAGATCTAATGTTGCTGAGGCAGATTTTAAGGGTGTTGCAATCAGCTTTGTTTAGCCTGTGAGTCGCGTTCTTGGCAGTAAGAAATGTAATTACTCTATCGCAGATCTTATTGAATGAGCGTCAGCTCTCTTTGGGGCTTCTGAGTTTGATGTTGCTGGTTGTTCAGATGAGGGGAAGTAATCAGAGAGGTGTTAGTAAGAAACGAGGTAGTCGATTTTGCCGGCGATATTGACTCATTTGCCATTTTGAACCCGGTACATGCAATAGAGAATTGCGGCTCTAAACCGTGAAGTGAAACTATATTGTGCTATTAGATGCTTTGTCTAGTGATGACGAAAAAGAATTACATATAGGTAAATACAAGCATAGGTAGTCAGTAAATATAATTACTAATTACTTCAGAAAACAGCTAGTCTGATAAAGACAACAATAGAAATAATAATAATAAAATTCACGAGTACAGTATCTCATCTGAATTGGCTAGAAAACGTAAGTGTTACTACTATAACTAAGTCAGACAAAATGGTATTTTACGAATTTCAAGGACTAGTTTCGATGGTTTTACCGAACCACATCTTCAGCTGCAAAACCGCAAATGAACAAGATAGGAAATAATGATTAATAAGATAAGAAAGCCTGGACAAGAATAAGCAAGTGGCGCCATCTGTTGGTGAAACCAGAACTAAAACTAATTTCTCTAAAGCCGAAGGCAAATTTGGATTGGAATTAGGATCGTTAACTAGAACAGAAAGATTTTTATGAATGTGAAATGCCTCTAGAAAATCCAGTTCTCCAATGGAAGATGTTTTTGAATAATTTTGGCAGCAGAAAAATTGAAAGTGTGATTTTTCGGACCAACAATGTTGAGCAACAGAAGACTTCTGTGTTTCCTTTTTTCTAACATATGCCTCATGTTCATTGACGCGAAATTTTAAGGCTCTCTTAGTTTGGCCAATGTAAATTAAACCACACTGGCAAGGAATCCTATAAATACCCCAGGAATTCATATCCGGAATGGGGTCCTTGAGTATGGAACTCGGAATTTTATTGATGGGAGAATAAACAACCCGAAAGTTAAATTTCTGCAAAATATGTGCAACTTTATAGCTAATTGATGGAAAGAAGGGAATGACAACAGAATTTTTTATAATCTCCTAAAATAAGAGTGTGCCTTTTAGTGTGTTGAGATGAGAATTTTTTAACTGCTTGATTAATAATGTTGTGTGAAAAGCCCCTGTCAATAGCTATTGCTTTTAAATAATTTCTTCATCAAGGGCTAGTTTGGAGGAGCAAACTTGAAGAGCACGGAAAACATAGGAATAAAATGAAGCTAACTTTTGTTTAGTCGGATGACATGATTTAAAGTGTGGTGGAAGGCAAACCGATGAAGGTTTACGGTAAACCGTAGTACTGAAGTTGGATGTGTTACGTGTGACCAGAATGTCGAGAAACGGAAGAGAATTGCAAGTCTCAAGTTCAAAAGTGAACTGAATAGCAGGATCAATAGAATTCATTGTTGAAAGAACTTTATTTAAATCATCTTTATTACCTTCAAACAGGGTAAAAGTATCGTCTACGTAGCGGAACCATGCCGGGAAGTTTAAAGTTTCAAACAATTTTGATTCATAATAATGCATGTAGATATCAGCCAGGATGGGACTGAGGGGGCTTCCCATGGCTAATCCCTCAGTTTGCTTGTAATATTTATTTTGGAAAACAAAATGTGTTTGTTTCAAACAGAGTTGAGTGAGAGAAATTAGCTCATCAATTTCGATGCAAGAGAAATGAAATTCGCGAAGTCTGGTTTCTAGACATCTTAATGCACCCTCCACTGGGACATTGGTGAATAATGATTTTACATCAAAAGAACCATGAGTAAATTACTAGGAGAAATGTTTTTAACTTTTTTTTACAAACTCTATTGAATTTTTTATGGTGTAAATGTTATTGTCTAATAGAGTGGAAAATCTAGAAACCAAATATTTAGCTAAGGATACGAGGCAGTACCTAAATTGATACAATAGGGCGGAAAGGAATACCACTTTTATGAATTTTGGGAAGAGCAATAATCTGGCACAATTCGCAACAGATGGGATAAGCGAATGTTTTAAGTTGCTTGAAATGATTTGCGAAGATTTGATCGCAGTTTTTATTTTGGATAAGTCCGAAGGTGAAGGATCTTTAGGGATCGGATTATATGGTCCTTCGTTTAAGAGTTTAGTGACACCATCGATGTAAGTGTTCTTATCCATGACGACTATCTGGCCACCTTTGTCGGCCTTTGAAATGACAATATCCGGGTTAGAATGAATTTCGCGCATTGTAGCTCTTTCTCTCGCAGTTAGATTTGGTTTCAAAGGTTTATTATTGAATTTCACATTATGAGGCGATAAGATGCCTAATCATTTCTTTCTGTGAATCTGAAACTTTACTAAACTTTGAAAGCTTTTTCGATAGGAGCCAAAATCTTTGGAATCGAGGGTTTACAGGTTTGTGAGAAGTTAAAATTATATTTTAGAATTCTGTCTTGTTCTTCTGAAAGACTAACATTAGAAATATTAACTATTGGCTTGATGTTTACAATGGGACGATTTTTTGAACTACTTGAACTGGAAGACTGTAAAAGAGTTTTTCGAATTTAACTGCAAGGGGTTTTTATGACGGTTAACTGCATTCTCCGTTCTAGACCAAGACTTTTGTTCAAGGCAGTGAATTTTGGATATGTTTAGCGAGTTCCAGATGAAGCTTATAGAGTTCACGTTCAATTTTGGACAATTGTTGACGTGTATCCCTTATCACGGACCGAAGTAAGGCAAGCTTGCAATTTAATAGAATTCTTGAAACGCGACTCGAAGGTTTTTGATTAGATTTGATTTGAATAAAATTGGGGATCAATTTTTTACATTTAACATTTAAGTAAAAAGTCAAGATGATTCAGGAATTTTTGCCGTTTCAGGCGTAATTTATGAAACGATTAACGGATGAAGGAATGATAAAAATGCAAGCAAAATCAAACTAAATTAACTGAGCAATAATAAAGTACACACAAAAAGCAGAAAAAATCCCTCACTGAAAATGAATAGAAAACAAAAACGTTTGTAAGCAAAATGCATGAAATCAGACAAGCAAAGCACAATATCCAAATGTACAAAACATAAACATAACTTGAAAATTGCAAAAAAATACTCACCGAAACTCCATACAATCACAAAATGACGGCCACACCACGTGCAAAAAAGAAGCAAAATGTAAGCCTGTTTGGGGCTTCTATAATTAAGACACAATAACACGCCGAATAAATACTAATTCAGAAGTCAAACAACAAAAATCAGCGTTATACTTACAAAATTTTCACAGGACTAGTTTCGATGGTTTTACCGAACCATCATCTTCAGCTGCAAAACCGCAAATGAACAAGATAGGAAATAATGATTAGATAAGATAAGAAAGCCTGGACAAGAAGAAGCAAGTAGCGCCATCTGTTGGCGAAACCAGAACTAAAACAATATTTCTCTAAAGCCGAAGGCAAATTTGGATTGGAATTAGGATCGTTAACTAGAACAGAAAGATTTTTATGAGTGTGAAATGCCTCTAGAAAATCCAGTTCTCCAATGGAAGATGTTTTTTGAATAATTTTGCAGCAGAAAAATGAAACTGTGATTTTCGGACCAACAATGTTGAGCAACAGAAGACTTCTGTGTTTCCTTTTTTTCTAACATATGCCTCATGTTCTTGACGCGAAATTTTATCTAGTTTCATGTAAATTACGCACTGAAAGGCTATAAATTACCCAGGAATCATCTTGAATTTTTACTTAGAATGTAAATGCAAAAAATTGATCCCCCAATTTTTATTCAAATCAAATCTAATCAGAAAAACCTTCGAGTGGCGTGTTCAGATGAGAATTTTATTAAATTGGCAAGCTTGCCTTTCGGTCCGCATAATAATTTACCTTCACAAGGGTCCAAATTGAACGTGAACTCTATAAGCTAGGAATCAAATGAACTTTTAATCATATCCAATTCAATGTTGAAAAAAGTCTTGGTCTAAACG